TTCGAGCAGTTAGTGCAGCATAATTCAGAGATATTTCTTGTACTTGCTTTGTCAAACCTTTTATTTCTTCATGTATTTATCTGTATAACTTTCCGTTACCTTATTTTTTTATTGTCCGTAGTAGTTTTCTGTTTCAACTCTTCGGGCAGCTATAATTGCTTCTGTTAATGTTATCAGAATGATAACTGTAACAAAGGTGGTAGTATTACTCTTGAGGCCTTTTAGAAACATGCTTACTACATAGTTCTTAGGGATTCTTTCTTCAAAATCTACTTGAGATAGGAGTTGCTTAAACTTGGCGGCATAGGTATCAACTCGTTCGTTATCTTGTTGGACCAGTTCATATAATTCTTGTTGCCATCGATGTCTTTTTTCAAATGTGAAAAAAAAACTGATCATTGCGTAATAAAAACTATATTTCATATCATTATCGTCATGCCATTGTTTGATATCTTCTTTGTTCTTGTGATACCAATCGGCAGCTAGGTTAGTTAAATATTCAGGTGCAATTCGAAGTTTTCATATATTTGTCCAATTGTTAGCTGTTGCGACTTGTTAAAATTCTTCCATCTATTTAACAGGGCCTTCATCTTCTCTTCCAGCAAAGTATTTAACTGGCACATGGTTCGTCTCCAACATTCTTTCTCGGTTTCCATTAAGAATGTTGGTGGTTGCAGTTTCAATTAACTAGGCAAGATTCGTCAGGAGCTGTTTCAATTGTTCTGCATCTATCTCATTTATTTCTTTTTGATTACTTATGTTTTCTCTTCTTCTTCTCTCTAAAATTTCGTTTGGTGAAAAAAATCGGGGGAGAAAAACGAATGTCGTATCTCATGGTTCACCACCAATTTTGTCACAGGTCAGGGTCTATCAGCGTAATAGCAAAATTCTAGACTTCGTGACATGTCAATAGGGGTATCTGTTATAACAGGAGGGATTAAAGGCAGAAAGAGGCGTAGATTTGGCAAGTTTATGTGATTTGGAAAGATTTTATTGGACAGAACAGTGTGATAAGTAGGTCGATTTTAACACTCTTTTATTAACTAATTTTTCCGCTCTCTTTTTTTACTATATTTCCTTACATCGTTTTTATACTTTTTCTTATAGAAAAAGAAAATAAAAGAAATAAAAGAAATAAAAAAAATAAAAGAAATAACAAAAATAAAAGAAATAACAAGGTTGAGGGTTGATTACCCATTTTGGCAACCTCTATAATGCGCAATCATCATTTTCTTAATTTCTAAGCCATATCGTCGATCGTCGTTTCCCCGTAACAATAATATTATATAATTTTTTGATTATAGTTGAAATAGTGAATATAATAATTATAATAGAAATAATTAAAATAATTAGAATAGTTATTATAATTTTACTATAAGATCAGCATATACAATATATAAGGAAAAGATCAAATTTCTAAATAAAATAGGAGCTTTTACAATAGAAACTAAGAAACAGTTTGAGTAGTTATTTTATTATAAATATATATTGATAAATTATAAGTTTGTTTTATAAAGTTTAAGAAAAAAACTCAGATCAAATTATTGTGTTTCAATCTTAAAAACCTTAGTAGTAAAGAAGGGTTTGAATTATATACTGCTAAAATTCATAGATCCTTAATACAATTGATACAATTATTTGACACAATTAATTAAGTCACTATTAAAACATATAAATAATTGAGTCATGATGAAATTATTTTTGAAGATTTTGGGAATTAGATCAACAGCAAATAATTTATATCACATATATAACCAATATACTAAATTATAGTTGGACTTTTATAAAAACTAAAAACATAAGATCAGGTGGTTTAAAACTGAAAGTAGAATTTCTACCTTCTTGATGCTTCCTACCTGACATATGAATTCACCTATGTAATGCTATTGATATATTGTGATAAAAATACAATAGGCTAGCATTAACTTTAATGGATGCTTAATGTAATAACAATACTATTATTTAATAAATAAAGTTTTGCATTTTATGCTTATTCATATTTAAAAAAAAATTTATATTTTTAGAAATAAATAACAAAAAAAAACTCATGTTTGTTAAATCTTTCCTTATATAATTAAAGAATAAATAAGACTTTCAAACTTACTTGACTTTTGACTAGAAGTCCTATTCTAATATAACAATAGTTCTTAAAGTCCTTATATTCTTAAGCTTATAATATATTTGATATATTAAAGAGAGATAAAAAAGTATTTTTTTCAAGAAAATTATTATAAAAGAAAACTTTCAACAAATTAGCGATAACAGTTTTTTTTTTTAACTTTGTTTTT